TTTACTGTAAGGACGACTACCCTTCAAATGATAGAACCTCGAATGCTTGAACAAGTACTACAACGCATGCACCAATGTATTAAAAGAGAATACTCTGGTTTTAACGTAGCTTTTAATAATTTGGAAAGATATTACCATAACTTTTATATAAAAATCAAAATTCACATTTCACTAGACAGATATAGTTTTCAGATGGATGTATAGAGTAGTCAACCTCCCTATGCCAATTCCTGCAGAAGCAAACAACCAATATTTCGCTTTGACAGAATACAGCGACTAACGGACGTACACAAACTTGCCTGATTACTTCAAGTTCGGCATAAATAAAGATAGCACTTTTAATATTCAGATGTAAAGTGCCGAATACACTATGTGTACCAGGAGTCACAGTACAAACCTATGATTACTATGAGAAACGCACACGTACCTTCATGCATCCAATATTTATATGACGACGATAAAATTAATATACAGAAAATATTGCAAAGGTACATATGATCAAAAACCCAGAATACAATCCGATAATTTTGGACATCGGAGACGGAAATATTGTAATTCACAGTAACAATACGCAATGAACATTGGATTGGGATTCTAAGAATTTCACTAAAATACAAGGATGCGCTTTATGAATTGTAAAATACCATGTGCGTGTAGTCTATATTCAGATGTTTGACACATACTCGTAAGACTAGTGTCAGCAATAATTATCAACGGTATCACACGTTATTAACCTTTCATCATGGTGCTAAACTTCTATAACTTCAAGTTGAAAGATTTAATGGGCATATCTGGATAATCAGTATATAATACCCCTTTGGGAAGCAGAACTACCTAATCTTACTTTACACAGGGGACTCTGTTACGATATAAACCTTGCGGCCGTGGACAAACAAATCGTAGTTGACCTAGAAAAGACAACTAAATTACTGAAATCAGATAGCACTGTGTTCTATTCCAAAACAAACAAATTGAGCGCTGACCACTGGGAACCCCAGACCGACGA